TAAACTGAATTTAATATATTTTCCAGTGTGTTGTTATATGATTAATCTTTCAAATGAAACAGCTTTGCCAACAATGTTATTGATTGCAGATATTAGAACTCAAAGCTGAGTATCTCAAGATAGCTAATACAGGGAGTCCTCAACTTATGGCAATTGAGCCCAAAATATGTTGCTAAGTGAGAAATTTGTTAAGTGAATTGTCTCATTTTATGACTTTTTGCCACTTTTGTTAAATGAATCACTGCAGTTGCTAAATTAGTAACATGGTTGTTAAGTGAATCTGGTTTTCCCATTGACTTTGCTTGTCAGGTCGCAAAAGATGATCAGATGACCCCAGGACACTGTAATTGTCATAAATGTGAGTCAGTTGTCAAGTATCCAAATGTAATTCAAGTAGTCAAGGGGATACTCCAACAGTCATCATTGTGAAAAAGTCATAAGCCACTTTTTTTTAGTACTGTTGTAACTTTGAATGGTCACTAAATGAACTGTTGTAAGTCAAGGACTACCTGTACAATGGAGGCATCTCAAAAATTATTCCTCCATTCATTTATCGCTACTGCAAAATCTTATCCTGTGCAGTTGTCAGTATTCAATCATTCATTTCCTTCCAGCTTCAACATATTTCATATTTTAATTATTAGTTCTTCCAGTGAGTTTAATTTCATCTGATAATTATTTGATCTTGCAGTCCTGTATTCTCCATAATTTTCTCCAGTATGACAATTCAAAGACATCAGTTATTTCCATTTAGTCTTGCTGAAATCCAATTTCGACATCAGTGTTAGTTTGGAAAACCACTATCTTGACAATACTTTTATTAGTGTGATGTTTAATGCTTCAATACTTTGTTTAAAACTGTCAAAGTATGACTAGCAGATGTCTCCACTTCATGGTTACAGCTACAATTGCTGTGAATTTTTCAGCCTAAGAATATAAAGCCTATTATTACACCAAAGAGGTATTATTAACACATCTAAGGTTGTTGATATTTCTCCTAACAACTTTTAATTCCAATGCGTACTTTGAGACCACATTTTTTTCATGGAATGTTTGGACTTGATAACAAATTGATTTCCAACAGCTTGGATTTATAAGAGTACACTTCAAAAAATTTGCAAGGATAACAGATGTTCTTCTGATGGAAGAAATGCTCACGTTGCTTTGGTGTGAACAGAACATTCATTTCTGATATGCCATAGGAACTGGGTCCTTGACTAGATGTATGCAAAATTTCCCATCCCTAAATCATTGCATGCAAGGGACAGTCAGGTTTGGATAGTCTATATCTAGACCAAAACATGTGGAAAAACAGTGTGTCTAACAGAAATAAAGGAAGCACTAGAAAGCTGAGGGGAAGTGTTGGTTGCAAGTTGGATGTGCCCTGCTTGAATAAAGGGCAATGACCAAGATTTAATTTAACCACTGCCCTTGAATTCTAGCAGAGGAGCAATTGCACTGCCTTCCTCATCTTCCTAGCATCTTGTCTTTGTCTGCAGGTCAGCACAGGTGACATACAGTTAGAGGAGCATCCAAAGGTTACAAAAGGCAATTGGACTTTCTTTGCTTTTTTCCCCTCTTGAAAACATTGTGCTTCTCAGCCAAGAAGCTTCTTCAATTCTTGCTCTTCTTCAGAACTGAAGAAGCTTCTTGGATGAGAAGTAAACCATTTCCAAGAGAGAGAAAAACCAAGAAAATCTAGTTGCCTTTGAAAAGCACTTTTGGGACAACTATGACCTGGATGATTGAAAACCTCCATGGGAAAGGGCAATACATATTGGTCTTGCCTAAAATTCATTGATTTTTTAAAGCAAAACCTTGATCAACCCAAATATTATAGTTTTATTTCAACCTGGCTAACTGCTTTGCCCTTGCTGTGCTATTTCTATTAAAACCATAGGCCACATTGTTTTACAGTACTAAATTTACAGGGATATGCATTTTCATCTCATAATCCCTTTGATAATAAAATTCTATGGCTACTCAGATTTGTTTTATTTGGATTATTCTCAAACAGGTACAAATCTTGCAAAATTTTGCTGTAGTTCATAAAATTTGGCAGGTACTGCTAAGTTAATGTCAGAATATGATTCACTGTTATTGCTGTTATTTACCTTATGTGCTTTGCTATCTTATGTCAATTGTGCAATTACTGTAATAAAGAATATCTCTTATTTATCTAATTCATGGTCATTTGATCATTAAATGTTGTTCTCAATTCCTGTACTGTAATTCCCCAAGTATATCTTAAGATACCCATGTCAAAATACAAGCTTCTCATATTTGTTTCTAAAAACCTTGCACCAAGCAAATATGCATCAAGTGAGATACTGAACTAGTAGAAAAAGCGGTTGTGGGGTATGACATCAAATTTTGTAACCCAAAATGGCATTAAAATTTGTAATACAAAATGTGCTCATACCTTTTAGAGCCTTATTCTTAAGCACTACATTACTCAAATTTGATTTCTTTCTTGACTCATATTCTATGAACAGGGAAAACATTTTCTACAACTGAATTTCTAATCCAAATGGTGATCACTGTAGCAACACATGACAACACTACAAATTTTATTAACAATTTTTGTTATTTATTATTTATTTTATTTACAGGCTGGCCAATTCCCAATCTCAGGCTTACAAGAACCAATATACATATACAAGATTCAACTGACAAGAAAAGCAAAATGTTCAAAACAAGACCAAAACAGACCAAGTAAAAGGAGGCTCCACAATTAAGCCTCTTCCCAAGGCAGCCAGGAATGTAATAATTTCCTAAATTATATATGGGAGCCACATTATCCTTGGGGAAAGGGTCATTCCAGAGGTTTATGTTGCACAGTAGATTTGCGTATGCTAAAAGTTCATTCTAGAGTTGTGGATTTTTCAACAGCATAATATATCCAATCTTGTTTGGATAAGCTAGATGGAGAGACAGGATAACCATCAAAATGGTAAATGAATAAGAGCATTATTTTATTAGATTCCAAAGCTGTTCTAGAATGATCTGAGCAACTTACAATAAACATAGAAATCAAATTCCAGATGTACAAAACTGACATAGATTTTTTGAGAACACCTGTTATAAGTTGTTGGTTGATGAAGTGTCATTTCTCTCCTACTAGTTATACATTAGTACAATTGCATTTTCAATAGTTTGTAAAATATGGAATAGAATAAAACTGTGTAAACTCTTCAAGGGGATTGCAGTCTGCTAAAATATAAGCACAAAGGCTTTTATGCAGACAACAAAAGTCATTTCAGAAGCGGAAAGACTACTTATCAAAAGCAGGTCTTCATCTGTGCTCCACTGCACTGTGAAGCACCTCTTTAAGATTTGCACAGCTCTAATAAGAATTGTTCTATGTCCAATAAGGAATTGTTGTAATAAAGTTTAAAGTACATGCCTGTACTTTAAACATGGCTGTAAAAACATGGCACTAAGAAATCTATTGGAACTAAACAAGTTCTTGTAACTAACCCAAAAGAGCACACTCAATTTAACACAAACCCTTCTGTTCTTTGCACACGTTAACCCAGGAATTTGAATGGTCTTAGAACGAATATCATCTCAACCTGTTGTTTATGAATATTCAGACATGACAAGATTTCTTTTTCACGCTTGCAATAAATAAGAACGAGTAAAGTTGTTTTTCTGAATGAGTTTTCTGCAGCTGGATAGGACTTTCTCTTCCATTCATAGGGCATCAGGGAAAGGAGAGCTTCCAAGAACAACACATTAATTGCTCTAAAGCATGTCTCTAAACCTAAGTAGGGATGCACCAAATTAAGATCTCCAGTAAAGTCTGGGAGATGTTTGCAACATCCCCAAATCACCACCCAACATTCCAGAACGAACCAACCCCATTTATTCGAGCCAGGTTTTCAATTCAATTCAACCTTTATTGTCAGAGTACATGTGTAAAATGAGATCGGCTGAGCCTCCTTTCATGTACACACACACCCCAACATAACTCAGTGAAAGACAAAAAAATCCCTAGCCCTGTGAATCCAAACAAACACCCAGTCCTATTATATCATTCAATTCCTATCCTCAAAACGACACTATAGAGCACTGCACACCAAGACAACTAGACACAAGAACAGTTTTCCCCCCAAAAGCCATCACTGCTAAACAAATAAACTATTCACGAAGGCTGCATTACTATTACTATTAGTCTTCTCATCCTTCCTATCACGCATCTCCTCCCACTTATGACTGCAGGACTGTAACTTTGTTGCTTATATCCTTATGATTTATAGTGATATTGTTTCCTAATTATTTGTACCCTATGACTATCATTAAGTGTACCTTACGATTCTTGACGAATGTATCTTGTCTTTTTATATACACTGAGAGCATATGCACCAAAGAAAATTCCTTGTGTGTCCAATCACACTTGGCCCTATTCTATTCCTTTTTCTATTCTATTCCATTCTATTCCTATGTGAACTTATTGCACCTCACGCAGGTCCCCGCAAGTCCATCTACTACGTTGTTGTAGTTATTTTTCATTCAGGAGTCCGACAGCCCATGAATAAAAACCATTCTTAAGCCTGTTTGTGTGGCTGCCTGTGCTTCTAGATCTCCTTCCCGATGGTAGGAGAGTAAAGAAAGGCTGACCAAGGTGTGAGTCGTCCCTTGTCCCTTTCTTCTAGGTGGTAAACAGCTTCCTGGGAGCCGAGAAGCGAGAACCAACCTCGCCGGGGAGAGAGAGAGGGGTGGGGGGAGCATCATATCGCATCGCGGCGGGTCGGATGGCTGGGTCTCTGCCAGGCAGCCATTGCAGCGAAGGGCAAGATGAAGCCGGCTGCTGCTTCTCCGCATCGTCCCTGGGCTGCTGGCGGCTTCGGCCACCTGGCCCCCCTTCACGGCTCTGCCCACACACAGCCACGGGAGAGTCATATACCAGGGCTGGCGGCGGGGGCGCTCCGAAGACCGCGCTGCCGTGACTCCTCCTAGAGGTGGTATGTGGAGAGAGATTTTCCCCCCCTCCCGCCCCGCTCGCCACCACTTCCTACCACCGGCCTCCAGAGCTGCCGCCATTGAAACTATACAATACAGGCGGCGAACGGGCAGGAGGCAGCGCGAGGCGGCGCCGCAGGAGTGAAGCGGCGGGTGGAAGAGGAGGCGGCGGCGGCCGCCGGCGGGCAGGTGATCTGTGGGGCGGGGCGGAGGGCGGCGGGGACCGAAGAAAAAGACCCGCCAGCGGCGGATGCGCAGCGGCGACGGCGGAGGCCTTTCGTCCGTCACTCCCCCCTGGCTCCGAAAACGGCGGAGGCGGACCGGGTAAGGGGACCGAGCCGCCCCCGCCCATCCTCCGTAGCATGGCAGTCCGGATCGGGAGGGGAGTGAAGGAGGCGGGCAGGCGGGTCGTTGAACGGGCGGGGGGAGGTCGTCGAGCGGGGGAGAGGGGGATGCCGCTTCGGGCGCCCGAAGAGAGCGGGGTGGTGGTGGAAGAAAGGCGGCCCTTCCCTTCTACCACCACCACCACCCCGGTCGTTCGCCGCGCCGACCTCTTCTCGCCCCGTCTCCCCATACCGCGCCTGCCTCTCCCCAAGGGAGAGCGGGGTGAGGAGAGGTCACTTCTTTCCCGAGGTCGTTTCCCTTTCCGGGAGACCCTTTCGTGGGGGAAAGAAGCCGGCTAACGGCGCCTCCGAAGCCCTCGCAACTCCAACGACGAAGAGAAGCCCGCCTCAGCTTTCCTTTCCCCTCAGCCCGCCCGAGCGGCTGAAAGGGGCGGGGGGTGGAGGCGAGGCGAGGCGGGGGGAGAGAGAAAGCGGCAATCGCGCGGGAAAGAAACGATCTCGATTTCCCACCGTCCCTCGCGAGCGCCCCAGCACCGGGTTTCCGTGGCGGCGCCCCCCCCCCACTCCGAACGCCGCGGGCCCCCCTCCCACCCCAAAGCTGTCAGCGCGCCTTTTTCAACCGTCCTCCCGGGGAGCGCGCGCGCCGCTTCCTTCGCTCACTCTCCTCCCCCCCCCCGCCAGGCACGGAAGGGGGCGTGGTACGCGCTTGCTTTATCGGGCAGCGTCTCGGGGGCGCCTTCGGAGGCAGGACAATGCGGGGTGTCTTAGAGGGGAAAATGTGACTTAGGATCCCTCTGCCTCCCCGCCTTAGCCTTATCAGTCTCCCACCCACTGTCTAAGACGGGGGCGGGGAGCGTTGTTTCTTCACAATATAACCTCCTTGTAGGTCTGCTAAATCTAAATACTTAAAATCAAGAAGTGCATATACATATATACATCTATACATCATATATATTGACATATATATATATATATCAATAAATAAATAAAAAATTGCAGAACTGTTCCTTTTTAATACCTAGCTAAAATCTTCTCACACCTTGGCTGCATTGCTTCTTCCTCCTGGCTATTTTATTTATTTATTTAGCATTTTACAGAGGTCATGCAATCACTGATAAACAAATTTAGTTTAAATTATATGTGTATATATGTAGACACACACACACAAAGATATGTGGACAGTACAAGTGTAGGAGATAAAATTTTAAATTAAGATACAATCAACACCAGCATAATACGGAGCCATAGAATTGGAATGGAACGGATGCTATAATGCAATATCTAAGGAAGCTACCCACCTAACTGCTTCTGGTTTGAAGCCTTCTGGCTATTTAGAAAAAGGTTCCATGCATACAGAAAACAGACATGCTTATCAACAACAAAATGAGGCCCTTGCTTGGCTCTATGAGCAGATCTTCCACTAAATGCATGGCCAAGAGCCTTTTGCAAATTGTGGAGACTGATTAGGCCCAACTGCTGTCTGCCTGCAAGATTCACTAAATCTGTTTAGAGGGCATTACTTTCCACAGGACTCAACATCTAAATAACATGAATTTGGTTGCTTGTTTTGAAGCTTGTTACACATAGAAATGTAACTATTGTTCTTTTATCTGTTCCTGCTTTCACTACCCTGATATTTTTCTTTTTTTAATATATATCATACGCTTGAGTGGTTGGGTTGGTGTAACAAAAAATAAGAAATGAGCTAGCATAGCCCTAAATCTGCAGGATTAATCCAATCTTAATGTCTGTCACTAAAATATCTCATATTTTGAGACAGAATACTTTTTAAGTCATATTTTGTGAGATGGGCTGCTCTAAGATAGATAGGCTTCTTACAATGTTTCAAATATATGCAAGCTAGAAATAAAAAAAAATATTTGCAAATAATTTAGTGCTTACCACTACTCCAGTGTTTTTACTGTAAATATCCATACCTGACAAAGTAGATATAGTTAAGACAATTTCATGAGATGTAGTTTTATTGACCCTTCATGCTAAATCTGTATCTCCCAAATGTTTATTTGCATGTAGCTTTTAAGATACAGAATTCCTATTTTGTATTTGGACTATCTGTCCAATCCACACACACCCCTCACATGTGTTTAACATTTATCAAGTTGGAATCAGCATTTGCTAACTACTCAACACATCATTGGATTGTTGTTGGGTTTTTTTAGTTAGTTTTTTTTGTGCTCATGTTACTCCCTAGTCATATAAAGTTTTTGGGAGAAGGTGAGTTGTAGTTATACAAATCTTACAATTTCCCCAAGGTGTTGATATCTCTCTGACATACACAGGTTGATCCATTTTGGGCATGTAAGAATAACTGACAAATGAACATTTGAAATAGTTGAATAAATAAATATGATTTGTATGACCAGAAACTGGCTGCTGAAATATTCTTGCACTGTGAGATTCTTCACTCTATATTGTGGTTGGAGCAATCAATATCACATCATATATATTACCACAAAATCTGTTACCTGCCTTTTACATGAAACTTACAATTTTGATCATTAAATGGTTTTGTGTGCAGAATGGCTGTCATTATATACTCATAATTTCCTGTTTTCATCTTTCATTCATAAGTTTCTATTAGAGCAAACAAAAACAATTTTCTACCAGAACCCTGAAAAACAACCAGCAACATGTCAGCCAGAGGTGGAAAGAAAAAAATGAGCAAAATATCACGCTCCAGTAGAGCAGGTGTTATTTTTCCAGTGGGAAGAATGATGCGGTACTTGAAGAAAGGAACGTACAAGTATCGGATAGGAATGGGTGCTCCGGTATACATGGCAGCTGTCATAGAATATCTGGCAGGTGAGAGTATATTTCCATTACAATGATCGTATGCTAAACCAGGTCCTTGCGTGGCATCTTGGGAAATTAAGCTGTACAACAGAGGAAGAGTTATTAAAGTAATTGCAGCATAAATTGTGATTGAATTCAGGCCTTTAACAAAACAATGTGAATAGTGTGAATCCATTATGGTATGTTTTATCCTTTTTGTAACATGTTTTAGGCACTACAAAATAAAAAGGACAAATATTAGTTACGTATTTTTAGACATTCCATGCATTTTTTTCACTCAAAGGCAAGATTGCTTTCAGCCATGAGAAATACATTAAGAATGTAAGAGAAAGCCATATACATTATAATTATTATGCAATAATAAAAACCCGAGATTATTCTTTCTCCCTGCTGTCATTATTTGAGTAAAGGAAGGGGGTAAGATTTAACTGGAGCGCACAAAGTAACCATTCCAGTTTCAGTACTTTCTGAATTGGTCTAAACCAGGGTGTCAAACTCAAGGCCCTCAGGCCAGATCTGGCCCGTGGGGCCATCCTGGAAACAGCGAAGGACCCACCCGCGATGCCTCAGCCTAGCCAAGACTGACCTGGTGGCGGCTAGCAAAATGCTGTAGGAGGCAGTTGCAGCCGAAAATGGAGCTGGGGGGGGGGAGCTCATGGGCCCTTTCCGGGCTCCATTTTTGCTGGCAGCATGCTAGCAAAACAAATTACTAGCAAAAGTGACATTTTATCACAAGGCAAGGAGGCATCAAGAAATGTTTTCCCTTTTGCATTTGAGCATCCAAGAAGGGGCAGGAAAGGAAAAGAGAGAGAGAGAAAAAAGGAAAAATTGGAAAAGAGCAAGAAAGGAAGAAGGAAAGTGGGGGAGGAAGAAGAAAAAAATGGAAAACAAGGGAAGGAAAAAGAAAAGGGAGGGAAGGAAGGAAGGAAGGAAGGAAGGAAGGAAGGAAGGAAGGGGAGAGATTATAATGAGAGGGAGGGAGGGAGGGTCTGAGGGAAGTCCTGCCTTAGCATTTGGCCACCAGCAGGCTTGCTGCCCTTTCACCATCCCCTTGTCTCCTGACCTTGCCTGGTGGTCTCCCATCCTGTTGCTGAGGATGCTTTGGTTACAAAGCCGGATCTCCTTGCATGGCAAGGGAGTGGACCTCCCTCTGACTCACACATACCATGAGCAACTTGGTCAAGGAGAGCAAGTACAGCAGCAGCAGCCTTGAGGAGGTAAGCTCAGTCAGGCACCCCCTTGGGGAAGCTGGGCTGGGTTGGGCTAGGCTGTAGGGTCCTGGTGCCCTGGGAGCTCGAGGGTGGGCTAGGCGCTTACCCTCCACTGCCTAGGGCTCTAGACAACCTGTATTGCCATCCAGGGGTCCTCCATGTGGCCTGAGAGAGATGGTGAGGCTCCTCTGGAGGACAAGCGTTTGGACCTCTCCCTGGTCTTGCCTTCCTTCACTGGAGACAATGGATCCCCCAACCCCGCCCAGGCCACCACAAGTGCTCCTGACATGAGTGACGTGGAGCTGGCCACACCCACATCCCCCCCCCCCCGGTCAAACACAAGCCTGATGCAGCCCTCAATGAAATTAAATTTGACACCCCTGGGCTGTACTGTAGAGATAAGAAATTGCACTTCAGGTGGATAAAGATTATGTCTTTCAACTGGCCTTCAACAATTTAATGAAAGTATTGAGAGTTCTAACTTTAATAGAACTGCTTATAAAACATAATTTTAAAATAGGAGATTTCATTCAACGTTGTTATTGGTAGAAGATCAACATTTGGATGTTTATATTTTGTACAAAGGTTGCATTTTGAATTTGATGAGATTTTTCAGAAACTGTATTATAATTTCCCCCAAAACCCTAAATCAAATTTTCTAAAAAGATATTCCAAACTTACTTTTACCACAAGACTGTATTAGTTAATAGCTCTATGATACTCCTGATCAAGCTTGGGGATTTTTAATGTACCTACCTTTTTCAATAAAGAAAACTTAGTTTAATATTATTGACTACTAATTATATACTTATACAACATACTGCACATATACACATTTTAGTGCAAGAGCACTGCAATATACTTGTAACTGAGATTGCATTCTACTTATAGCAGAAATATTGGAATTAGCTGGAAATGCTGCAAGAGACAACAAAAAGGGAAGAATTGCACCGAGGCACATCCTTCTGGCAGTTGCTAACGATGAAGAGTTAAATCAGGTAAGTCTTTTGGATTATTTGTAAAGGGTCTCTTATTGTGCCTTTGTTTTTTGAGCCACTGTGGCTGGTTGATAAGAGAAGTTTATTTAGTCCCACTAAGATTAATTTAGTGCCACTAAGTGAAAGGTTGAACTATATTTATACATTTAAATCATCATTTTTTCCCTCCTGGATTCATCAAGCAAGGTGCTTTATGACTCAACCAGCTTCTACTGTATTATTTTCTGTTTTTGAAAGTATTCAAAACATTTGTAACTTTTATCAAGCTGCTTTGCAATAGGAATGGGGCAAATGTATAGTTACCGTAGTTGCTTACAATGTAAACAGTGTATCTTTGTGAACCATAATACCAGGCATAAAATGCTATACCAACATGAAAAGGTAAAGGTTTCTCTGTTCAGTTGTGTCCAACACTAGGGGGAGATGTTCATCTCCGTTTCTTAGCAGAGGGAACCAGCATTTTCCGGAGATATTTCTGTAGTCATGTGGCCAGCATGACTATACGCCAAGGTACAGAGAACACTGTTATCTTCCCACCAAAGTGGTACCTATTTATCTACTTGCATTTGCATGCTTTCAAACTACTAGCTGTGCAGGAGCTGGGGAAAATAACAAGCTCACTCTTTCCAGCTGACAAGCTCTGTCTTTAATCACCCGAGCCATCGCGCATACTTTATACAAGCATGAAGTAGATTATTTTACAGCATCTTAAATGCTTCATGCATATGCCAAAATACATTTATTAGGCTTTTAATATGGCAGGGGAATAAAGAGATTTGCAATGAGATTTAGTTCCAGATGAACAAATATAATGTTAAAATACTACTCTCTGGTTATCTTGTTTTAAAAAGGCTTGGGATGTTGTAACTATATTACTTATGCTGACTTGAAATCCATTTTTATTTTAAAATTAATAATTGGGATACCTTTTTCATGTCTCTATTTTCCCTCGTTTGCTGAGTAACATTTTTCCTTGTGCATTATTTATGTCACTGATGGCAATGGACACAGTCTTTTATATTGCTAATAGATGCAAAGAAATGATCCTGATTTTCTGCAGTCACATATCTTTTTATTTTTTTAACTATTTTCTCATCCAGTAGTCTACTAATATTTGTTTTAAAGCTTACTCCTAAAAACGTTCAGAATCATTGGAAATAGAAGTGCATACAAGTTGAAGTACTAAATAAACAAAAATCACATTTTACATTCCTTAACTTTCTTCTTGCATTTATTACATATTATTATGTTCTTTTTTTGTTCCAATTATGGCCAGATGTCTTTTTAAAAATTCTAATGGATTTTTCAATCATGTTGGAAAACTGTGGATTTGTTAGAACATTTCTTGACTGCACTGTAACTAAACCTTTTGTGTTGCTTGAGTAAAAAAAAAAGAAGCAGCAAGTGTTCTGGATGTTTTTAAAATTATTTTTATTTTCCTTCTCAATTCTTTTTATAGACTTCATTTTTAAAGAGATTCCTTCTGAAAATGAAATAGTGGGTTTCCTTGGCAATGTTACACTTAACGGAAGTGTGTGGTTACATTTGCTATCATTGTGGTCACTGTCCTAGTTCAGCAAGCCTTACATCTTTTATTAAGTACTAGGTGACATTTTTGAATTTTTCCAAGGTCATCTCAGTTCACATCCATGATTCAACAATAGGACGTTTACAATCTTGCGGGGCTGCGTTACTAACTGCCCAGGGCTGCATGTGGCCCATGGGCCACAGGTTGGACATGCCTAGTCTGCCCATTGGTATCAGTGATCAAATGCATTTTCAGATCTCATCTTAATCAGTGTCCCCCATATAGTATCAGCATTCATCCAGGATCATTTTAAAAAAGTATGTAGGGAACCTTGCTGAGGGAACAAAGATAGGGCTTTCCAGAAAATGCTGAAATGGAAAATATTATTATGTAAATGAGTGTGATTATTATATTTGATATTCATATTTTGGGTTATATTATTTGATGTGAAAAAAGATCTAACTATTTTACAGGGTTTGAATAGGATATTCAAAACAATTAATTAAAAGCTCTGTTTTATGGGAAAAGTTACTTTTACTAGAACATTTGAAATAATGTTGAGTAGTTGATAATTACTAATATACAACATAACTTTTCCAAAGTAGAAAATATTCAATGAGATATTATGGGAAATTCTGTAGTTTGCATCTCTTATGAAGCAATTCTCAAGAATTAAAACCAGTGTGACATCACAATTCTACAATGCATTCCGATGGTGGCATGAAATCTGGATTTTGTTTTGCTTTTGGAGTATTGTATAGGAGGACTATGAAACTGAATTGATGGTTTTGATACTTAGTGGATGGAACAAGTAAAATGTGCATGGAAGGAAGAGAAGATTTTAGTTTTTGATAAAAAGATATTGTTCAAACTCAAAATCTACCCATGAATTTTTTTGGATTTATTTCTTCCATGGCTACTTGTCCTACTCCTGTTTCTCCTAATTTACCAGATGTACCAGAAATCATAAACCAATTATTTTCAGTCAATTATATACTCATATACTTTTTCTCTCACTGGGAAAATTCCTGAAGATGCTCTGGTTTCAGTTTGTTACCAAGTGGAATCAGTACTGTTAAAGAAAGAAATGCTATGAAGGAAATAACTGTTTATCTTGTTTCTTAATTCTAAGTATGTGGGGAAGGGGGAAATGCAGCTCCTTAGTGGTAAGGACAAATCAATCCTACATATAGTGAGAAATACTCTCGTTAATATTGGTCGTAGTGTCTATAGTTATTGTTGTGCCTCCCTGTTATTTGTTTTATGGTATGTATTTCGTTATTGTTGGTTGGAGTTATTGAAATACTTGAATTTTGTCATCGGGCATTCCGCTTTCATGGTCTTGGGTTTCCCCTTAAAGTAATTTGAGTTGTATTCAGTATCAACCAAGCCATGTTGCAAGCTGCCAAATTGAATCTTATTCCCTATTTATATATATCATTCATGAATAGATAGTAACTGATGATATAGGCAAGTACCACAGTGCCAGAACATAGTACTGTAATATTAGTATTCTTTCCTTAGGGTATAGTTACTGTAAAATTCCATCTACCTAGGTTTTTCTATATGTCTGCTATAGCCTACTTGTCTGGATTTTTACATCTCATATATGGTAGCCTTACTTTACTTGTTATAAAGGGGAATCTTACTGTAAATGTAATTCCTTCCTTTAGCCATGATATTTTCTGAAAGGAACTAATTCTTTATTGTTCTGTAAAAGGGACAGTATAAATAAAAACAAGTCATTGCGGTTTTATTTTACTAATGCAGTCTTACTTTTCCTGAAAGGAACTTAGGATACATGTAATTACTCAAATTTGTGTATTAATTATTCTGTTTTGTATAGTTGTTTATAAATGCCATAAACAAATTTCTTTAGAGTAAATTAATTAAATATAAGAAATTGTATTCAGATGTGTTCAATTTTTCTGCATTGCCTCTTTCAACAGTTGTTAAAAGGAGTGACTATCGCAAGTGGAGGTGTTCTACCCAGAATTCATCCAGAGCTTCTTGCCAAAAAACGAGGCGCCAAAAGCAAATCTGATACTATCCTTTCACCTACTCCAGAGAAGAGAGGAAGAAAACCTTTGGGGGTCAAGAAAAGTGGAAAAAAAGCAAAGACTGGTAAAGCTCGGACACCTAAAAAGGTAAGCGGAACTCAAAGCAATCAGTTTTGATAATTTGGAAATAGGTTCCTCTTAGAACTTGATCTTACTCACGCTTAAAAGGCTACCATACTTTGTTTTAACCAGATTTATTTCAGATGTTATAAAAGCTTTATTCTGCAATAGAATCTTCCTAAATACTATTGTTTGTTATTAACTGACCCAAGAGCCATTGCAAGTTGAATCAGAGGAACAACTTCTTCAGCTAATGAAGGGATGAAAAATAGTTTCTCTACAAAGTAAAAAGTGCATGGGCAGGATATAATATATTGTTTTTTCTGTGCCATGAACCCCTATATAAAACTGAACCTATGAATACCTTAGACTGCTCAGGTTTTAATACCATCCTTAGCAAACACAAAACACAAATAAATCTGATATGGAAGTTTCATAGCGGAATAAAAAAATCCTCTATGAATCGCTTCAGTAAGGGTTCAGTATATGCTTAAAGAGCAGCACTCCTTAGGATGAAAGGGTTCCTTGTGTCAGAATTAGTCACAAAGAGGAGTTTCTTCTAAAGATCTTAATGATGGCTAGCTAGAGCATGGATCCCAGGAGCTCTGGCCTTAGTTCCCAGCAGCTAGCCTTGGAAATGAGGCCTGTCTACTAGGCTATGGCCTTCCTTTGTGAACTGGATTTCTGTTCATTCACTCAAACTCTGTCCCTTGATGCTTGGACTGACTCTGGAACATGCCTTTGGATCCTGACTCTCTTTGACGCCTTACTCAGCTGGATTCTGTGTATGGCCCGGTTTTGAATCCTGCTTTCAAGGATCTGTGAGTTGTTGGCTGCCTTATATTCCCTGACCTTGCTAGCAGCCAGAATGTTGTACTTTCGTGCCTTATTGAGACTGAACGGGGCAGTTATTTTCTTAACAAACATATTTCAGTGTTCTAAATAGATAGAAAATAGTTTCAGTGTTTATATTATATTTCAGTTCATAGGCCATTAAATAAGCTAATTACTGAATGTTAGATTCCAAACTGCAGGAAAAATGAACCACTGAGAGGTATTCACCAGAAATTCTTAAAAGTCTAGGGAGATGCATGTTTGACTGTGTACCCATTTTGAAGGCTTATAAAGAATTGCTTTATACCATCTCTGATTAGCTTTCCAACTGTAGTTAGACTGTAATCTGTGGGTCTGCTCTTCAGACCAGTCTTAAAACTATCATTGGTGTAGCATGCAGTAGCCAAAATGGCTATAGGTATTGTGATTACATTACACTTACACTATGCTCCATGACAGGTATGCTATAGTTGCATATTTGTATTCAGGCCGAATTTAAAGTGCCAAAGTTACCATTTCAGGCTATGCATTGCTCTAAGTTATCTAAAGGAGTTCTTGCACTTGTACAAGCCTTCCTAACCTTTAAGATAATCATTTAAGACTCTGTTATCTGACCTATGAATAGTAACTATAAGATTGGTGAGTATCAAGGACAGGGTTTTGTCTGTGATAGCCTTTCATACTTGAAATTCCCCTCTAGGAACTGTTTAAGGATCTCAGCTGATCTTCAGAAGGAGTTTAAAAACATTTATCTGGGTCTCCTTTAATTTTAGAGGACTGTGCTTAGTACTGAAGTTTAACTTGCTTTTGCTCTTTTGTTCAATTTCTTTTAATTATTTTATGTACTGAATATTGTTGTAACGGCTTACTTATATATCTTGCAATTTTAAATTACAATTCATTTTCTAATTGGTTTTTTATCTGAAAATAACAGTATTCCTTTTCCGTAAGCAAATACATATATTCTGATCAGTGACTCCAATATTGTAAAGAATTAAGTAACATTCAGGCATTTTAATACAGGCATTGTCCGCTTTGTTTCAAGCTTCCTGGGATTGTTGGTTGAATTGAGTTTTTCCATTGAAGTTATATACATTAGTATTTTTTTAATTCTTAGTTGTCTAATTAAAATATGAGAAATGTTAACAAGGCCTCAGGCCTGGACCTAATGTGTCTGTGGACATTGGGATAATTTGATATTGTTATGCTTGTTTTAGAGCAGGCTTTCCACATTGCTGAAAGTTTTTAATACAGACAGTCCTTTACTTACAACAGTTCATTTAGTGACCAAAGTTACAAAGGCACTAAAAAAGTGACATGACCATTGCAGCATCCCCATGGTCACATGATCAAAATTCAAAAATTGGTCATGTCATTTTTTTCAGTGCCGTTGTAACTTGAAATGGTCAACAGACAAATGAATGTAAGTCAAGGACTACCTGTAACTAGAGATCAAGGAAACAATTGTGGTTAGGTAGACAACTTTAAATACACCCTTCCTCATAACATTAACCAATATCCAGATAAATCAACCAGCACCAAATGAACAACAGCAATCAAAGAAGAAACAATACCTGATCAGTGGTGGTAGGACATGTTTTATATATAAACAGCCACCAAAGTCCACTGCTTTCCCCCACTGTACTGATGGTGTGATGACATATCTACAAAAAGAAGAGCTTAAAAAACACAATAAGCGCAACAGTTCAGTCTTGATATATATTCTCCACTGTCTTTACTGTATCCATTTAAAAGCTACAACATAATTTTACTCATGGAATGTAAAGTTCCTTGCAAAGTAAAATATTTTTGTAACATTGATCACAATAATCTATTGTGTGAAAAGGTTCTTATGTAAAAAATAAAAACTTACCACATTAGAGAAAATATTAACTATGGGTTTGGGGGGATTTGTTTTGCCTCTGGCAGTAAGCAATTTGTGCAAAAAGACTATTTCATACAAAATCATATCCAAATATAAAGTGACATGACATCAGTTCAATTTGTTAGAATTTTCCCACCTTAAAAGTAAATATGCACATTGGTTTGAATTTTTCCTCCTTTCTTGTATTTACAAAATATTTCTTTTCACTAGGAAAAAATGTTATTTTAACCATTCAGTCATGTCTCACCTTGGTGAGTTTATAAGCAAATGCTCTCCACGCTACCCCGTCAAGCACAGCTTCTTTCAGTTATTGGATATTCATCTTTGTATCAGTTTTGGTGTTATCATGCCATGTTCTTCGCTTGCCTCTTATTATTATTCCACTAACCATTCCTAGCATCATTGACTTCTCTATGCAAGCATGACATAGTCAAAGTAAATCAGACATAGTGATCATGATTTTGGCTTCCAGTGAGGTGTCTGGTTTTATACGATCCAGACTAGGAAAAAAAGACTCTTGTATAATTACATTACTAAATAGTATTAGTTATATGCAAATTTTAAAGAATAATTTGAAATAGATTTCGGATTTCAAATATTCCTCTTAGCATTTCTGTTTTTGAGTATATATATTATGTTAATAGAATAAACAGAAGGAAAATGAAAAAGAAGGAGCATCAAATTCAACAGCCGATGATGGACCTGGAGATGGATTCACTATACTCTCGTCCAAGAGCCTTGTTCCTGGACAGAAGGTACCAAATTAAAGGGTAGAAAGTTCTGTACTTCAAAAATAGTCTCCAGTGAAAAGATCTTTATTTATCTCTTCTTGCAAAAAAATCACATATTACCCTACTCCTTTTAAGAATAATTTCAAGAAATTATTTGCAGGTAATCACTTAGAAGCAATGTGTTCTAACTGAGACATTTTGGCTTGCATAAAATGAAACATGCTCCAGATCCCTTAGGCACTAGAAATGTAAAATAGAATAGAATTTAAATTGCAATACAAAGTATCTCCTTGTTCTCTGTTTCATCTTTTACATAGTAATGCCTTGTTAAAGTTGTTAAATGTATCTAAATTAATCAGCACTCTAGTTGGTTGCCTCAATTTTGATTTGTTACAGTGATTTTCAGCAACATCCCCATCCTTGTTATAGCCTGAACAATCCTATCCCCATTATCCTGGAGGAGTTGCAAATGTTGCCTCCTGGGCTTGCAACCCTTAGATGCAGAAGATATTTCAGAACATCTTCTTAGCTATTGTATATAGAAAGGTTCCTCCCTGGAAAAGTGTTTCATAAAATACGTACAGGATGGGTCTCAAGATTCAGGAATTACATCAACATAACTTTGATAACTTCTGAATATCGTAGAGTGTTGCAACTTCATCATTGAAAAGTACAAACTTCAATGTTTCATGAAATTACAAATATATTTTATCTGCAGATTAAAGGAACTAGGTAATTTATATTACAATAAACTGAATATAATTTTAGACATACATAGATGCATATGGTAAATGCAAAAGTCTCCAGTCCTAACCTACCAATAGACAAAAAGGATGCCTGCTTCATAAGTATGTCCATAATTCCTTCTCCTATGCAGATGCAGAAAATATGCATATTAATTCCATTATTAAGAATAATAATTTGGAAGATAGAATACTAAGCAAGTGTACACAGAATATTATTTTCTCTTGCATTGGAATAGTTAAGTTGTATCACTGTCACTAGTGGAAGCATAGACTCAGAGGCCCAGCTATTGCTGTGCATGTGTGTAACAGGTCTATGGTTGGATGACTTGCTTACAAATGTTGGCTTTAAAAGATGGCAGGCAACTCAGTATAGGTGGGATGATTAGAATTTTTTTTAATTATGGAGATAAAATACCATTGGGTTTTATTTATAAAACTTGTTGCTGTGTCCAGAGTTAATTTTCACAATGTAACCAGTACATAGAAGAGCTTAGAAATCACAAGATGAAATTAAATTTATATAAATTAAATAATTTACATGAAGGAAAGATTTCATACAGTTCAGAACCAATTAAAGATATTGCCAACCCAAGTTACGGGATGGTTATATTTGATATCTAATAAAATTATAAATAATTGAAAAACAGTGAAAACAAGTTCATGAAAGAAAGATAGTGGTGTCCTTATTTCTAGATGGGAACAAGGTTTTTTTTAAAGGTCTTTTATAATAGTTTAATTCTTAGAGTCTAGTTTCATTAGTTCATAATCCTCAAACTTAGGTTTGTTTGCTTTTGTGTTTTTTTGTTTTTGTTTTTGCTCCTGTTGCATTGGCATTTTGCAGTTATCTCTGACACAAAGTGACATCAACCATATTGGTTCAATGAAAGTAGAAGGTATTGTGCATCCAACTACTGGTGAAATAGACCTCAAAGAGGAAGTAGGTAAGTCTAAAATTATTTTGAAGCAAATAGAAATACTTGAAACCTCTGAATAGTACTTTTTTTCCTGTAGGAACTACCAAATCTGTTATTCTTTAAACTTTTTGATCAGAGTTAAAAAACAGGAAATGTAATTGTTCTAGAAAGTACTATAAGTATTATGGACAACTAAAATATGTTATATATATAACATATTTTAGTTGTCCATAATACTTATAGTACTTTATTTATATATATATATATATATATATATATATATATATATATATATATATATATATATATATATATATATATATATATATATATATATATATATATATATATATATATATATATATATATATATATATTATTTTTCTTGTTTTAATTCTCTGTACATACTCAATTTGGAGAAATAAATCAAGTTAACGTTACTGCATTTAAGGCTTCTTACAACATTGTCCTGTTGTAGGTTAGGCTGCTCAGTGCTGGTTTTCTATACACAACAGCATCAGTAATCATCATTTATGAAAATATATTCATAAGGCACAGAGGATAAATATTTTATTGGCTGCCAATAATAAAAGAAAATGAATGAGAGAAATCCATTCCAAAGTAAAGATTGACCATTCAGTTTGAATTTGTATCTCTGCATGTATGCATAAAGGCCTGTTCAGAACTGCAATAGAAACATACCTTCCTTTGTTTTCCTTTGGGTCAGGCAAAGCATTGGAAAAAGCTGGTGGTAAAGAGTTCTTAGAAACGGTAAAGGAACTTCGTAAATCACAGGGACCTTTGGAAGTCACGGAAGGTAAGATCTTTCTTAATTATGTAAAATCTATTTTAGTCACATTTTAGTGCCCCCCCCCCCAAGGATTGGGAAGGGGTAAGGTTGGAGTGAGAGGAAAATGTGAAGTACATTGGGAAAAAATGCTTATAATACAGTACCAGGTTTTTCTGGGTTTTGGGATGGGGGTTATTGCTTTGTTTTTATTTTTTTATTTTATTGCTTATACATATATTATTTTATTCTTTAGTTATGAAGCACTCAGTTTGTTTTAAGTTGGGCGGCCATCCAAATGTTTTAATTAAAAAAGTATGTTCCTGATGAGAAAAAAATCAGTGCAGGATGAGGAATTGAATGGCAAAGAGTCCAGCTTCATCCCCGTATCTTAAGCTTTGCTGGAAAAGTAATAGTAATGCTTTAAAATGAGCCTCGTTGCCTCATCTTTTTAGGCATATTTCCTTACCAGATTTCTCAATGCCTTCGACAATGACAGGACTTCTAATGTGCTGCCTTCCCTGTAAAAGTTGGATACATTCAGAGATGGATCTGCTTTGAAAATAGCCAGTGTTGAACTGGATAGCACAAACCTCAGCACAGGAAATGTGCTCTGACATTTTGTATTATGTCATAAACTGTTTGACAATCATTTTAATGTCATAAAAGGTTTTATACAATTTGTCAATTTTCAAGTCCGTGGGAGTGATGGGTCCCAGATTTTGGATACATTCTGTAAGTTAGCCTATTTGGTTTGAAAATTGTCGTCCTGTGATGCCTAATTGAACATTATGGAAAAGAGAAATAAAATAGTATCTAAGGTGTATAGTTCTGCCTAAGGTAATAGACTCATTTTCCCCCTTCAGCTGCTCTCGGTCAGGCTACTGGTCTAGCAGCAAAATTTGTCATTCACTGTCACATCCCACAATGGGGTTCAGATAAATGTGAAGAACAACTGGAGGAGACAATAAAGAATTGTTTAACTACTGCTGAAGATAAGAAGCTGAAGTCTGTGGCTTTTCCACCTTTTCCCAGTGGCAGGTATTTACTATATAAATCTTGTAGTAGAATTAGTACATTTCTTTTGTGATACATTTAAGAAAATAGCCAGTAACACCTGGTCTTATAACATATAATTGAAATATATATCTCAGTCTAGGATGGTCTTGTATGTGATATTTAAAAACAGCCTTCAGAGGTTTTCAGGGAAGAACTATGATCCAAACTGCAGATGCCCTCTATTGGCATACATTTATTGGCACAAATTAACATTTTGTGACATATTTAAGGAAATCGCTGATAGGCTTGCCAGCATAAATCTCTTTCATACACTGTGAAAAATCCCTATACCTCATGATATAAAGATATTTAGTAGGTGATTTTTTTCCCATACCATATTACCATAACACCTGCTAGATTTTTATTGTTTCATTTTCCAACTTTGGGGCCCAATAGGCTCATATAGGAGTATTTTATGGAAACTCCTTTTGATTGCATTATTTTGATTGCATCCGCATTTCCAAAGTGGTGGCTCAACAGTTAAAGACACTAAGCTTGTCAGCTGGAAAACCAACAGCTGACTGAGTCTTCAAGATTCAAGTGCCTCACAATGGGGCAAATTCATGTTACTTGCACCAGTTCCTATCCATCTAGCAGTTCAAAAGCATGCAAATGCAAGTAGATAAATAGGTACCATTTAATGGGAAGGCAACTGTGTTCCATGCACCTTAGCAAATAGTCTTGCTGGCCACATGGCCCTGTAACTCTCTTTAGACAACACTGGCTCCCTTGACTAAGAAACGGAGATGAGCACCACCCTCTAGAGCAGTGGTTCCCAAACTTTTTCCACCACCCTCTTGGTGCTACAAAACTGATCCTCAGTGCCCCCCACCCAGTGGTGGAGTTCCATTTTTTTTACTACCAGTTCTATGGGTGTGGCTTGGTAGGCGTGGCTAGGTGGGTCAATATGACTGGGCGGTTTGCACGACGGAAGGAAAATAGTAACAGTAAAATTCAACACTGTAACAATTAATTGCACATTTATTCAAAAACCAAAAACCTTTTTAGTTAATGTTAATTCAACAAAATTGTTGAACATGATCCAGTCATATTAGAAGAAAATGCTGTCTAAATGTTCCAGTATGCCAAACAAGA